AGGAGTAAGTGTGTGTGTGTGTGTGCCAGTGTGAGTGTGCATGCGGCCTCTCGAGTCGTATTCATTGGCAAATAAATCACAAGACGGAGAAACTTTATACGAACGCAGCAGGCGCTTGGGCGCCAAGTAATTCACTCAAAATGAAACCATAAAAGCAAACCAGCGGCAGGGGCAGAAAGAGAGCGTATGGCGATTTCTGTAACTCGAGGCGCCTTCCAGCCTTATGATGTCCTGCTGTGAGTGCCGCCCAAGAAAAAAACTTTAAGACGATGGATGTGTAGCAGCGGCAGCAAAAAAAAAGTGTTGCATAGCTGCAGGCGCCGCAGGCAAATGCAAAAGGGAAAGAGAGAAGGCAAAACTATGCAGAAGCCAAGGCAACCTGAAAGCAAATCCACAACAATACCTCGCCGCAGTGACATGCAAAAATTGCAAACGTAAAACACTCCTGGAAAAAAACTCCACAAGCAACAAAAAGCACGAAAAAAGCAAACAAATTTCAGCAAAATGCAATTGGATAAGGGCAAAAAGCAGAAAGGGCAGCGAGGGCAGCGAGACAGAGACATGTATTGGGTTTTCGGGATTGCGATGCGGTTCAGTTTGGGTTTAACTGGCAGCTCAGCATTAAACACCCTTGGAAACAACTGTCAAACGCATTTCAAGAGGGTATCGCATGCAGCAGCAGCAGCAGCAGCAGCAACGGCAGCAGCAAGGGTAGCTGGCTATCGGTTATGAAATGTGGAGGCATTGTATGAATGCTTCCCTGCCCCTGCCACTCCGCCCACTCCATACACTCTTTCACTTTGCTGTCTGTCGTTCAGCATTTCGCATATGATTGGTTTTTACACCAAATACAGGACATAGCCCTCCCTCTCTCTCTCTCTCTCTCTCTCTCTCTCTCTCTCTGTGTGTGTGTGAGTTGGCTTTTTTAATTGCCTTACGATGTTTTTCTCTGTGTCTGCTGCTGCTGGTGCTGCTTCTGCTGTTCTGATGGCATTCCACATTCCAGATACATATATATCCTAGATACATATATATCCTTGTTCGTCATCTTTCATTCAAAATTTATCGAATATTGCTCATACGTCGCGTAGTACACGCTCGAACAAGCTATGGCTCCACTCGATTGATAGCAGAAACTTACACACGCACACACACACATATGTATATGTGTGTGTTTGTATGTATGTAGCCTCTGTTCGTTTGTTTCACGCACGTGTCTGTCAATTTTTTACGGCACTCTCTTTCTCTCTCTATCTATCTCTCTGCTCTTTTGCTTTCCCATTTTGTTTTGCTTTACACGCGCCAGCAAATGTCGTCTATAAAAAGCGCACGACAACAGTCGCCGAATCACAACAATACGATAAATAATACAACAACAAAATATATAACAAAAAACTTTTGCACTTATTTTTCTACATAAGCACACACACATATGTACATACATATTTTTTTCGCATAACAAACATTTGCCAATCATGAACTCGAGCCAGACACAATATGTGACTATATATTGTGCAATATTTCCTCAGCTCCCTGCTCTATCTCACTCTCTCTCTCTCTCGCTCTCTCTCACTCCCTATTTGTCTGTCTCTTTATCGCACTCAGTCCACTAATTCATCTAAGCCCCCAAACCCTGTTTGAAGCATATAAAAAACACATATTTCATTTGACTGCTGACATAATCAACCCTCTGCTCAGACAAGCCTCCAACCACAGCAAAAAACAAAACAAAAAATGAAAATAATAAAAAACAAAAAAACAAATTCGCATTTAATATTGAAAATTCGCTCAATGTTCCGAAAAAGTCGACTGAAAAAAATCAAGCCCAGCTTTTGTCGTTGTAGTTTTATTTTTAACTACGTCTCGGAAAACACGCAAAGTTTGAGCGCTTTATATGGCAGACACCTAACATCCCGCCCCGCTTCGGTCCGCCCACTTTGGCAGCCATCAAACAACATCAACACGGAAATCAGACGAAAAAAAAAACAACATTTTTATGACCGCCGCAAATTGAAATGCGCGCAATTCACAATTAGCTAAGAAAGAGCGAGAGCGAGCGTGATCGAAAGAGAGCGAGAGAGAGAGAGAGAGAGAGAGCGAGCTAGTGGGATCACCTCATGCACAGATTTCCATCTGTTCGCTTCTTTGTCTTTTTTATTATCTATGTATATATTTTCGGTTTATGTTTGTCGCGTTCTTTTTATCTAATCAATAAAGAAATTTATATCTAATCAACGTACAAAACAACTACGAAAACTGAACTGAAACAAAGCACAACAACAAGTGCCAACGGCGTCATCAGGTACACACACACACAAACACATGCATATATTGACTCGCTTATATATATATATGAATATTGCGCTCTCACATTCTTCCTCTCTCTCTCCTTTACTCACCTCTCTCATGTAATGCAAATCGTAATTCACATAATGAGGCAAAGCGAAATGACGAAAAGACGCAAACTTGACGATTATATGACAAAGCAATGTAAACCCAACCCGTTCAACCCCCAACTTTGCGCGCTCTCTTTGCCGCGCTCTCTTCTCTTCGCATTGTTGTTGATTTTACATTTGCACTATTTGTGATCGCCGTGCGTCTCGCTCGCACACACTATCTGTTGAAGGTTATGCTGTTTGTGTGACAGCAGCCAGCACATTAACAGGAAGTTATAACTGTAACTAGATATGTACATAGATAGACAGACAGATAGTTTTATTGATAAAGAAGCGACTAACACGAAGCGCACGAAATTTAGACGAAATGAATACATTTTGATGCATCCACGGCAAACAAGTGCAAGCGTTTCATTGAAATTCAACTAGGCTGAATAAATGCACTCCCCAAACAACATAAATCACAAAGAAAGCTTTTCATTGGAATTTCTCCGGTGGCATTTGGAAAACATGCTGTCATCTTATCTCACTCACTCACTTCTTATCTGTCAACTCAGTCAGAATATGAGGCTTTTTAGTGGTTTAGAAAGCGAACTATGTCAAATGATTTCCATAAATAATATTGCAACTGAAAAGAACCGGTTCACACGAGCGATGAACCAATCCGACGAATAAACCGGCTTCTTCTTCATTTGCTCCTTCTACTTCGGACTTTGACTTCAACTGCTACTTCTACTTCTTCTTCTTCTTCTTAGTCTGTCAATTATTCAACTGTAATTTGCTGCTTTGTCAGCCTTGAAGCATGCCACACCAAATCCCGTCCAGCTGCAACGACTTTAGCTTGACCTGCTGACCCGCATTCGTTGCGTCTTGGGAGCACTTGGCTTGGCTCATTGCTGTGCTTTTGTTTGTCCCCATGTCTGCTCGCCCCCTCTCTCACCGCCCGCCAGCGCACAGCTCACACGGCGATTAGTTGAACTCAATGCTAATTTATCGTCACAGCCACAATCACAGATCCACTTGACTAGCCAAATGCCCCCACACTCCGCTCACCTACATCTAGCCCGCCCTCACCCTCTCTCTCTCTCGCTCGCTCTCGCTCACATCTAGCTGCTACCGGCAAAGCGCTCGTCATGCGATTATCAGCCAATCGCTTAGTGTGCTATTTATTTACATTTGCTAAGGCGCGAATGTGTGTGTAAGTGTGTGTGTGTGTGTGTGTGCGTGTGTGTTCTTTTTTTTACTGTATTTTGTATTTGCTTTTGTTGTGCGGCGCTGCTTTTTGTAGATGCGCAATTATTGTGAGCGTGTTACTTTATATATTTCTGTATTGTTTTCACTTTATTTATTTATTTTGTATTTTGTACTTTTCCAATTCGCATTGCGTTTTGTGTTTGTGTTCTCGTCGCTTCATATGCTCCATGCTGTTGTTGTTGCTGTTACTGTTGTTGTAGTTGTTGTTGTCGGGCAAATATGCTTAATTATTTTTACCTTAAACGTCGCTCCATCAAAACGCGAATGTGAAAACAATTTCAAACGAGAGACGTTGCTTAGCCAAATGTGTGCGAAGAGATAGATAGGAGGAGAGAGGGAGGGAGAGGGCGTTGAAGCGAAGGCAGACGTCACTCAGGCCCTGAGCCCATTTGACATTTTAGGCTTTAAATGTCAAAGAGACGACAAAGTAAAAGAAAGAGAAGCACAAGTAGAAGACGAAACGGCAATGCAACGGTGCAACGACAAGTGAAGCAAACCAAATGCAATGCGAACAGCAACAGCAACAACAACGACAACAACAACAGCAACAGCTGCGAGTCAAATGAATGACAGACAGTGTTTGACAATGGTGATATATACATATGTACATATGTATGACGATGACGATGACGATGACGATGACGATGACGATGATCGTGATCAATGTAATCGATGCAATTAATGCAAGCATTAAGCTGACCTCATCGATGAGCCACAAATTGCAATCGACTTGACAATTGCAAGCGTAGCGCATCTGGAGGCACGCTCCACAAGAAACATTCAATGTATTCACAATGTGGAATAACAACTGACTGACTGCCTGACTGACTCACTGTGAACGATAAATAATATTCAGGGATATTTATAAACTTACACAGAATAACTCGACAATCAGCTCGGCCCGAGAGGTACTTGGAATTTATAAATAAAATATAAACAAAATAATATACACACATACATATATGTAAGCATAATGCACAGTGAGCAATCACATTCGTGTGATTATGCGAGAGCTTATATAAAGTATAGAAATGAACGCGATTATTTACTTTATCAGTTGCCAATATTCTTATCATCTCACCTGTCTACCTATTGCCTGTCACATTTCATTTGGCTTTTGCTCTCAAAATTTGTCAAATTTCTCGAGATTTGTTGTAAACAAATTGGCTTTCGCGTCTTAGTTAAGTCACGAGCTCCGGCTTTTAACCGAGTCGCAGTTATATCGATGGCCATGTGGTGGCAGGAGGTTGCTGCGACAGCCGAGCCCCAATGGCATCTATACTACTACTGCGTGCCGCTTGATGTGATCCCGATTAATGAGGAATATTACCTTTGCTATGATTGTTGCAGAAAAAATGATGAAATGAACCAGCAGGCGGGCTCCTCAAGGGCGCCAGCCACAGGGGGCCAAATCTCACCGCCAGGTGGCAGCACCAACAGCATTGTGGATGCACAGCAGCAGCAGCAACATCAACAGCAACAACAGTACTATACTCAACAGCAGCAGCAGCAATACCAGCAGCAACAGCGCGAAAGTTTTTTGGCCTATCAGCAGCAGCAGCAGCAGCAGCAGCAACACCAACAACAGCAACACCAGCAACAGCAACGCTCCGTGGGCGGAGGCAACTTTATGCTAGGCAATGAGCTCGTCGGTGGCGACAGCCTGCGCAGCCTAAACAACACCTTCGGTCCCAATTCGGAGTTCACATCGCTCGGCGGCAACAGCTCGGCCAGCTCACTGAGCGGCCTGAGCAACTCCAGCGGCCAGAGCGGTCAGGTCCAAGCGGGCGTCGGCGCTGGTTATCCTAATATGGTGGCAGCGGCCAGCCAACAGCAGCAACAGCAACAACAGCAACACATGTCCAATATGGATGCCATGAGTGGATACAATCAGGTGAGCACAGCCAGAGAAACTATTCTAAAGAGTATCTACTAAACACAGTTAGCACTCCAAATGCAACTCTCTCAAGGATCTTGACTAAACACACGCTTCTCTCTCTCTCTCTCACTTTCTCTGCAGATGGGTGGCGGCATGCATCCGGTTGGGAATGGCGGCATGATGGGCAATGGCAATGGCCAATATATGAATGGCGGCGGCCAGGGCAGTTACAATGGCGGCCAAGGCGGCATGGGCATGGCCGGCATGGGCGGCATGGGCTATGGCAGTGCGGCCGCACAAAGGCATCATCAGGTGAGTGGATGAAGCGATGACATCATTGTCATCATTATCATCATCATCATCATCATCATCATTGTGACTGCAGCAGCAGCAGCAACAGTAGCTGCAGCCCGGCTTATGGCCAGCTGTTGGCATTTGAAATTCATTTGAGGCCATAAACAGAGTTTTTGTTGTTGCTATTTTTGCTTTAATGCCCGCCTCCCCCATTTACGTGCAAACGGCGCACAAAACAGACGCAAAAACAGAACAGCGAATCGAAATCTAAATTGAATTTCTGA